CCAAAACCCCCCCCCCCAAAAAAATAAATCCCCCTCCCCCCCGTGTCTGGTCTGGTCTGGTTCCGCTGATTCTGCACAGAGCTTTATGTCATATCACAGGCATCCCCAGCAATCTGATGGGCTTCTTCTCACACAGTGCCCCATATGTCTAGAACAGGGCCTCCAGCTGTTTCCGAGACTACGAATCCCATCATGCATCTGTCTCTGGGATCAAGACTGTGGCTGTCAGAGTGTTGCAATGCCTCATGGGACTTGTAGTCCAACAACAGCTGGAGGGCCGGAGTGTGCCCGCCCCGGGGCTAGAGGGATGACAGCGGTGCAACCATCCACTCCAACACTGATCATGTGACCCCCAAAGACCTCAGCCAGTTACAATGTAACAACCTCAGGAATAGGCGACTTCGGCACTGCCGCTGTGATGCAATGCCTCCTGGGACTTGTAGTTCTACAACAGCTGGAGGGCCGAGCTTCCCCACATCATTATCTCCGGAACGGACGCAGGCAACGATCTGCAATTATTCTTATAAAACTGAGGAGTCGCCGCGGCAACCGGACCCGCCAGAGAGGAGCCGCCGCCGGCCCGGAGCCGGTTAAATGTTTCCATTGTTAATGTTCCGTCTTCCTCTCCGAATCTCACTCATCACTGTTTATATTCTCAGCAGAGGAGACGCCGCTTCACACTGCCGCCGCCGAAACAAAACCAATCCCACCAACAAACATGACACACAACACAGAGGACCGACCACCGGGGACTGTGATGGCCGCAGGAGTATTCCCTTCAGTCTTCTATCTGACCTCCGTCCTCCCCTTCAGTCTTCTATCTGACCTCCGTCCTCCCCTTCAGTCTTCTATCTGACCTCCGTCCTTCCCTTCAGTCTTCCATCTCACCTCCGTCCTTCCCTTCATTCTTCCCTCTCACCTCCGTCCTCCCCCTCAGTCTTCTAATGGGGAGGACGGAGGTCAGAGAGAAGACTGAAGGGGAGGACGGAGGTCAGATAGAAGACTGAAGGGGAGGACGGAGGTCAGATAGAAGACTGAAGGGGAGGACGGAGGTCAGATATAAATCCGATTGGTTTGGATTCCTCGGCAGGATGCGTTCACACCTACAGAGCGATCACAGAGGGGGAGGGGGAGCGCGCTGGTCCCGGCCACATATACCGATGTACAGCCAGCAGCCGGTCCCACAACTGTCCCTGACTGCGGATCGATCAGAGAAGTCAGACAATCCGCCATCATGTGTTCTGTCCTCACTTGTGACTTTGTAATAAAACAAATATAATCCGATCACCAATATCCTGATATAAGATTTGGGGTAACGATGTCATAGTACAAAGTCTATAAATCTGAACTCCCGGGAACACAAATCTTCATTTCTATATATTCCACAATAGCCACAAAGGATAGAAATCCGCTTTGCGAGCACCAAATACCTTCACAATCCCCGACGTCACCTTGTATGAGCAGCAGTGACATCATCACTGTGCGCGGAGCAGAGCTGTGGGAGGGGCCCAGTAGGCCCCACCCACTACAGCCGACTACAGGAGGGGCCCACAACGGGGGCGATCAAAATAGTGCTTGCAGCATTTTGATCACACCGGAACACACGATGTCCCTTGCGATCCCGTGCGGGCGACCGCGTTGCGTCCGCAGGGCACGACTACGGCGCCATTCACTTCAAAGGCCCGCCACGCCCCCTCCTGCC